CCATTGTAATTGTCGCACGTTATCTGAAAATCTGCGTCTGGGAAGAAACGGGGAAATGGGTCTCGAAGCCACAAAATATCTGCATCCTATAATACCACAAGCTTATCATTTGAATGTACATTATGTATAAGGACATTATAAGAAAATAACACCATGGTAGGAAAAAACTAGTATACTATAGTTATTGCAACCTTTTTAGTGACGTGCTAAAATTTTGATAATATGATACAAATCACAATAATATTCCAAAAACAAATTGTATTCTTATTTTAAGATATTTTTATGATTTCATATATATATGCATATAGGTGTATTTTTGGTAAACATATTTATTTAAAATCTACACATAGCTGACCATAAAATATCTCTAAAAGCGTACACACGCAAACAAAAAAACGTTACAATCTTGAATATTGATTACTTAATATTATATTGAAGTGGTTCATAATATTCTGAGTTCTCGTGTCCTAGCCACCCACGTAATATAAATGAATCAATCAATTAAAGGAAAATTAAACGTAAAAAATTGAAAGTCAGAGGTAAGCTAAAAACAAAACAAAGAATCTCGAAAGTCAAATTAAAACCTCAAGAAAAGTAAAATCTAACAAAAGGAAAATGTTTAAATCAATATAAAATTGAATGGTAGCCTAGCTCTGATTGGTGCCATATATTTTTAAAGTTAAGTTATAGTTGATGTTATAATTCGATGTAAGTTATAATAAAATTATATAGTAAAAACATTAGAATTATATAGTAAGTTTGTTGTAAAAAATTGAGTATTTATTTTTGTTAAAATAAATGATTGGTATCTTTTTGATGTACAAATTGCAGTATGTATTATTTTAAATATTATAATAATAAAATTGAATAAAGAAATTAATACTAATTTGAAATTCATCAAACTAAATAATTTTTAGAAAATAATAAAAACAGATCTTAAACTTTTTAAGGTTGTTTGTATATTAGCTAAAAGCATTCATATATATATATATATAATATTATTTAAGTAATTATTTAAAATACCAAATAAAATTAATAATTAATTATATAAGAAAATATAATTTTGGATAATTCAAATGTTTAAAAATATTTTTGACAAATACTGTTAAAAAGATTTTTGAGCTGATTTTAATCAACAAAACAGATTATAAAAAAAAATAGAATTATTTAAAAGATTTTATTAAAAAAAAACTACACTAATACAAAATAAATATCTAACTCAACTTATAACTCACCACAATTATCATGATTTAAGAATTTGAGTTGAGTTATAAATTTTATAAAGACATAACTCAATATTTTAATACAACCATAACACATTATAACTCAAACTCTAATACAAAAACCAAAAATAATGCATGGTTGGTAACATTTTTGAGTTATACCCATAACTCAAACTAAATCAAAGATACCGTATGTTACCAATAAAAGCCATAGTTGTATATACATAAACATCTCTCAGAAATTAACAATTCTGGTTTTTATATAATCATTGATCTTTGTATTCGTTTTAAAACTACAAAGTTTATATCATGTTCCTTCAAACATCCCACAAAACATTGTAAATGAAAATATGCATACTTAGATCAAACATTAATATGTTGTATTTTTTATTAAGAAATAATTTGTCTTAATATATATATTATTAAAGTAATGTATTTTTGTCTAACCCTATGTACTAAAAAATGGCTGAAAAATCTCGGTGATGGCGCGAATACTTTGTCTAATTCAACGTATAGAAATAGTTGCAGATTTGTAAGAAGAATTACTTCTAGAAATATATATATATATATATATACTAATTAATTATAAATAAAATAAGAGAAGAAGATGGAGATATTATGTACCGTGAAAATGAAGTTGTACCCTAAACCAAGAACTTGTCTAAGAAGATCCATTCGCCGCCAAATGAGTTTCAAGTAACCAGGCGTCATAAACCGGTTTGGACCGGAGAGTTGGTCTGAATCTGTGGTGTTAATCAAGTAGCAATGAGGATGAACCTCTACGCACCGATCATATGCCTTGTTATCCAAACAAACCGCGATCACGTGCTTCAACAGTCTCTCTGTTCCTATTCCCGCTTTAAAACTCTCTCGAAACACTTCGAACGTGGAGTTTGGTTCGGCCCATGCTTGGTTTAACGCCGTGATGATCACCGTCTTATTCTCCATAGCTGCATTCATCAATACTCTCTCTAATTCTGAAACCGGATCCTTCTTTTGTACCTATATATATAGTTAAGATTAGCATGGTAACTTTTGCAATAATAATGAAAATATGTTTAAATCAATTTCGTAAACTTCGAGATTTTTATAATATAGAAAAATATTAATTTCTGTTAATTAGCTAATAGACTCAACTTGACTAGAAAATTCTGTGCGAACATAAGGATATAAGATTGTTAACTTTTTCTAATAATGATATGAAAATATGTTTACGTCAATCTCCAAGATCTACTAACAATACAATATCAGCAATTCCATGCATTACTTTCATAACTCATACATTAATAGTCGATTAAACTGATGTATTTAAATGATCAATAAATACATGTAATATACTCACCGTTTCTACGGAAGTCTCGTTCATGATTTTTGAAGAATAACAATCGGTCGTCCATGGATACATCATGTTGAGTGGATTATTTGCAGATTTGTAGAATAATAGGCAAGAAAGTGTCACAGTCGTTACCAACAACACGACTTTTGTCACGTCTCTCCCTCCGAACAATCCATCGGAGAATTTCACCAGCTTAGATTTTCCGTCGTCGATGCTATCTCCGGCGAAATCGTAACCTAGAGAAGAAGATTCGCCTTTCGTGCTCTTCATTGTTTCGACTATGAATCCTTTTCTTCTTCTTTTTGTCTTCGTGCGTTCTATTTATATTGCTTCACCACATATCCATTTAATATGTAACTCTTTTTCATTTTTTGGCCAAACAACATTTAATAAGTTACTCTTTTTCTTTTTTTTGACCAAACAACATTTAATAAGTTTCTTGTAAACTTATAAAGATATATTTTTTTTTTCATTCCCACACGGGAAACTTCCTTTTGAATCCAAAGGTTTATAATTCTAAATCATGACCAAACCGGTCACTGATCTAAATATAGTTCGTTTTTAATCATCGAAATTAACTATATTAAAGATATCAGTGACATGATGATGATCTTCTGACAATCATGTTAAAAGGAACGTTTGGAAAATTGTATCATATAAATGGGTCAACGAGGAAGAAAGAAGTGATTAGTGACTTAACCAGAAATCTTAATTATTGAATTATCATGTCACCAATAAACCAGATTCGCCTAACATATTAAAGTACTAAGTTTCCCTGTTGACCAAAAAAAAAAGTACTAAGTTTCCATGGGAAGAAATATGATGAAAATAACTCATAGTCATAGACTTTGGTTCAGTTCATATGGTGACAATTTGATATGATTTCTGATATCTTTACATGGAAATTTACTTACAAACAATAGACGGAGGTCACGAGTAATACGTGTTACTGTTTTCCGTTGAGGAGGTCAAAAATTAGCTACACTGGTTTAGCTGTATGCAATAAATCGGTTAATCATTGCCGGTTTGAACCATCCGGTTTAAGTGCTCAAGCAAAATAGAGAAACCTCCTAATTGAGGTCACTAAGTAAGTACGTGTTTACCGTTGAAGAGGTCAATAATTCGCTACGACGATTAGTTAAGAAAATCCATGAATATAAATGGCCTTTGTGGATAATACTCGGTTCTATTGGTCCTCTGGTCAGATCATACTGTGTTAAATTTCAATTTGTACTTCTATACTTATACACTGAATTTGCATAGGCCAAAAGAAAGTAAATGTTGATATTTAATGTTGACAGCTCCGAACTATGACTTATTCATTTTTTTTGGTAGATAATCTACTATTTCTATCTTTTTTATAAACAAAATAAATGCTAATTCGGCCAAGGAAAGAAACACAAGTTCAACGTAATACATGTAACTAGGTAATAATCCGCGCCCTGCGCGGAGTAAAATATCTTTTATTAAATTAATATAATTTTTTAAATATTATATAACATAATATATTTAGTTTTAATTTTCGTTTTATATAATATGATTGTAAAATATATTAATAATATAATAAAGTATTTTTTATTTATATTAGTATAAAACCGTTGTAACGTTCAATCAATATACATTGTTTTACTCTAATGGGTTTAAATATATGTTTGAATGATATAAAAAATGATAGATATAAATAACTTAATCTGTGAAAGAAAAAACAAATTATTGCTTGATTGATATAATTATAGTAAACAATTATTTTATCTCTTTAAATTATTTTAGGATAAATAAATAAGAATTAAAACGGCTAACCAAAAAAAAAGGATTATAAACAATAGAGAATAACATAAGTTGCAATCAAACCTCCACGCTGGTGTCACATGAATAAACAAATAATCACATTGTATATGACTCGAATCTTAGAACTTATTTTCTATTGTCTGATGAATATTAAGGTTAATCAAATGGAATATAGTTTGAAATTGTAATAATACAATGTACTTAAACTATATACAAAACAATATGTAAAGAGATCGAAGATTAAAAAATAAAAGCTTCATTAGAATTTTACGGAAACAAATAACGAAACATAAATGACGCAAATTATTAAAAAAACAAAACTAAAAAACAAAATTCAAACCCAGAAAACGATTGAAGCCTCTAGGTTTCAGATCAGTAGTAGAACTAAAAGATGTCATGAGAATAAACTGTAAAAAAACTTTAACTAGAAAATGCAATGAGAAAGTGATATGTGAGTGCATATAGCACACGTCTTATATATAGTTGGGTGACAATTTAAATCATGATATATATGATAAGTATTTATGGCACATGTAATATTTAAAATATAAGACATTAAATAACGAAATGACTCAATTATAGATGAGATTCAACTCGATAAAGAACCTCATAGTGACCAAGGCCAAGGCCAAGGCCAGTTATAGTTTACTATGGGATTGTCTTAAAAATCGGTAGTATCCTTTATTCCTTTTTTTTTTTTTTGAATCTGTAATTGGTTTACAAAAAAGGAGAGAAAAGGAACTAAACGTAAAAGACTTGTCCAACGTTCAAAAGGGTTTCATGAGGAACATGTAAGATAACACTATTCTCCCTACAAATCTTAGCAAGAAACGCATAAATATAATCAATGGCTATCTTTTTGGGAAGCCATGATCCATTTCTTGCTTTCACCACAGTGTTGCCCATGATATGAACAACCCCTGACTCTTTACAAGTCTTTAGAAACTCCAACTCGTCCTCCTCCTCTTCCTCCACGGTATTGTTCTGACTGAAACTCATCGCGTTGTTATGCGGTGAATCAGCGGGTTGTATCGTGTCTAAAGTCGACACCGTGTAGTCCACCATCGATGAGAACATATCCATGTTACCGTTTTCGTTGTTGCCATTCTGGTTGTTGTTGTTGTTGTTATGGATCATCTCATCTCTCGACTCTTGTGTGTGGTTGACCGAATACGCGCTGCTGTAGGTGCTTGAGTTTGAAGCAGGCTCCATCATTGTTTCGATTCGGATGAACGAGAAGAGGTTATTCAACAGTTTGTTCTCGAAATCGTCGTCTTTCCTGTGTAGATCTTTGTAACCATACCTATCAAAATGGTTTCAAAGATTTCAAGGGTCTCGAAAATTCTTTCTCTAAACCGGTGTGGTTTGGTTCAAAACCTGCTTGGCTGGGCCGGTTTAGCCCATCAAGAAATGCAACTAAAGAACAGAGAAGAAGAAAAGACAGTGTACCTGGCTACGCAGCGGAACATTCGGAATGTTTTTGGTCCGATTCTCTTGACAAGAAACCTCTCTTCTTCAGGGACGGTGTAAACCGGAAGGTACTTGACGCAGACAAAAACTACAACGGAGTGAATCGCGGGAAGGTTGGTGATGAAATGAGAGAAGATGTGAGGGACACCACTCGCTAACTCGGTGTAGACTAACCCGATCCCAGGGACACGAACAAGCCCGAGGCTAGGACCGAGACCAAGTATCCAGCTCATGGAGACTTTACTGTGCACTTCGAACTCGTATTTCTTGACTGTCGCGTAATGCCAAACCAACATCACGACAAGAGAGATCGCTGCTATGATTAACGGAACCCATCCTCCTTCGTTTATCTTGAAGATCACGGCCGCGAAATACGAAAGCTCCACCACGAGTGAGAGGACGGCGAATATAAGGACGATGATCCAGTGGCACCTCCACACGAGCAGCATGATCAGCACCATTAGTAATGTGGTCACAAGCATCACGAGCACAACCGCAGTCCCTAGTTTCACCAAGATACCAAAAAAAACAGTCAAGAGCGGTTAACATTTAACCAACGGTTTAAAACAGAACAACCACGAACCAAAATGCGCGCACCTTACAAGACCTTACCGTATGCATTTCCGATTTGGCTCTGGTTCTTGAAGCTAGCGGTGACAGCGATGCAGCCGAGCATGAGTATCCAGTTGATATCAGGGCAATAGATCTGACCAAGGAACTTCTTGGAAGTATGAACAATCTTGACTCGAGGGAAACAACCATGAGACACGGCCTGCTTGATTATCGAATACGTTCCCGAGATTGTAGCTTGGCTCCCAACGATCGCAGCTCCTGTAGCTACTATAAACATTGGCCAATACACAGTTCCTGTTTGGAGTCGAAAGCAAAAAAAGAGAGTTTCAGAGTTTGTAAGAGAAGAAGCAACATGTACTGACTTTCAAGAACATCAAAATGGTTTAGGACAAACCTGGCATAGATGCATAGAACGCATCTTTATAATGATCCGTATTGTTCACAAGATACGCAGCTTGTCCACAGTACGCTAGAAGAAGACAAGGGAACACGAAAAACGTAAAGGCGAGCTGTATAGCTAGTAACGGGAAGTAAGCAATGTCTGCGTATAATGCCTCAGTGCCTGCAAAAATTTTGAAAGAAGAAAACATTATAGAGACGGCTTTGGCTTTTTACAAAGAAATCTCTAATGCGATTCAGTTACCTGTTATGCTGAGAAGAATGCCGCCGAGCGAAATCCAACCGTCTCTACCTCTTCTTTTGAAGTACAAGTAAATATATGTTGGAGAAAACGCTTTTAAAACGCTTGTGTCGTATTTGAAGATGTTGTATATTCCAGTGCCTCCGATGAAGAGGAACCAAATAAACACGATAGGAGCAAAGAGCCATCCAACTTTGTCTGTACCGTAGTGTTGCATACTGAACAGTCCTACTAAAATGACAATAGACACAAGCACAACGATGTCTGCACCCATAGAAACAAAGTAGCAATTTTCAGCAAAAGTTAAAACCGTAACGGATTATCTGAAAATTGGACATAAGCTCACCGCCGCTCATTTCTGGACTCTTGAGTTTGATCCCACCAGTCGCTGAAAGAACTGTTAAGAAAGATGATTTATGTCAAGCTAAAAATGTCAGTAAAGCTGTCTATCTTTATCAACCTTGAGAAGAAAGAAGGTGAAGAGAAGCTAGCTTACCGGAGATGGCTGGAGTTAAGATACCATCACCGATCATCATACAAGTCCCGAGGAGAACAACGACGAGAAGAGCTCTCTTCCTGGAGTGTTTACTCTCCAACCACTTCTTGGTTTTAGCAGCAAAAGACCCTTCAGGGAAGATAGTTCGACTATAAGTAGTGAGATCCTCATCGCTGCGTTGCTGATTCGGGATAAGCTTCACTTTAGCATGTCTACAAAGCAACGAGTATATCGCTAAAGTCCCACCTGCACACAAACAATCGATATAGACTAAACCGGGTTGGTTCAAAACATCGATCAAGCTCGGTTTGTTTTTTTAGCTTACCTTGGCCATTGTCATTAGCTTTACAGACAATGAACACATACTTGATGAGAGGTATAAGCAAAAGAGAGTAAATGATCAAAGAAAGAGCTCCGATTACATCTTCACTATCAGTGATTCCATCAGGGAATGTATTGTAGAACACATACAATGGAGAAGTCCCTAAATCGCCGTAAACTATCCCTAGACTTTGGAATGATAGTCTCAGTAGCATCAACATCGATAATCCCTGATAACAAACACCAGATTTTTCTTTTTAAAAACCTAAACTTTCTCAATTTCTCGAATTCTATATATGATACTGAATCAGAATAATCATCAGCAATCTCATGAATCTATATAGGATACTTTTAAATGAGTTCTATTGAGAAAGTAGTTACCTTTTCTCTGTACATGTTCTTGAGCCTATTAGCTTCTTCATCCATGGGTTGATCAAGTTTCTGCTCTAAATCCCACATAGCTCCTACTTGTCTTTCTTCAATCGTGTTTTCTCCTTCTGCTACTGATTCTTCTACCCTTTCCGCCATTTTTGTTATCCGGAAACAATAACAGAGCTCGAATTTTCCCCTAAATTGATTCCAGCCCTACTTCCTCTGATAAAACCAATCGGAGCCCTACAAACCGATAACCATTTCGAGCAATTTCGCTTTGAGATGAGACCAAAAATTCGAAACTTTTTTTTTTCCCCGGAGTAAAGCGACTCGAGTTATTACAGAACAAGTAATGTCTTATCAAGTTTGGTCGTAAGAGAATTGGATAAAGGCTGTACCACAAAAACCTCAAATTTGTGAAGAAAGGGACCCTCGTTTTTTTTATCAAAATTTAATTAATCAAAAAAGAAAAAACGGAATCAGTCAATCAAATGATTATCAGAACAAAACGACCAGAAAAAGAATATCTAACAACTGTTAAGATTACGCGAAAAGAACACGGCTTGAAGAAAGATGTTTTTTTTTACTTCTTTGTTTCAGATATTAACAACAGACAGTGACCAAAGAAAAGAAAGACGAGAGAGAGAGAAAGATGCAGACAAAGATTGAAAGATAGAACTTATAAGTTATGAAGACGCTGACAAAACTGAAGACGAGTGGCAGAGAGAGAGTCGAGCAGTTAAACTCTCTTTCTTTCTCTCTCTCTCTTTCTTTTCGTTTTCGTTTTTTTTTTCGTATATACTTTTTTTTTTCTTCAACTGTTGGCATTTAGTACTTCAATTTCAGATTGTGACATATGATGATATACCCAACTTTTGGATGAAAACCCAACGAGGAAGAAATTATAAAAGACACTACAAAATTAAATTCTATTTTCTCATAGATATGCCAAATCATATAATTTATTAGCACTGTTTGGATATGTTTGTTTATTTTCTTTGCTTGCTTTCATTTACCTGACGTAGTGGCCACACTGCATTTGTAGATACATGTACCAGAAAATCATTTGTTCTTCTTTTTTGGTACGAAAGTGATGGCTCGTAATAACATTAAGTATGTGGAAGTGGAAGCCGAATAAAAATTTGATTAAAAACATTCTAGAAGAGAATATGACCAACTTGCATCAGGTTAAGAGTACAAATATTACTTCTGTTTATTTTGACATTCAAAATATAGATTTAGACTACCGTCTGCGTGTTAGGTGTTGGCAAATGTTATCTCATTGAACTACGTCTCTAATAATCATTATGAAAAACACCATTTCACGATTCTATAAAAGAAAAAAGTTATTTAAAAAATCATTATATATAGTCTGATATATTTAATCAGTTAGTACCATACAACTCTAGTACTCTACTCTCTAGTTTATTATAATACAGTTGACTTTATGTGCTATGGAAAATTATTGTACTTTACCTTACCAAATGTGATATTTTATATCAACGGAAGAAATTACTGAGTTTAATGTAATTTATCTTTTTTGTTAAAAAAACAAATAATCATGTAAAACATAAAAGACACAATTGTTATGTCATGTAGCCATGTCGATTATAATGAATTTCTCATATCATTTATCGCAGAATACGTAAGATATATAGTATTCCCTCTATATGCATATAATATACATATATCTCCACAAAAGAGAACGTGCATGAGATTACGCATATAATAATTTTTATGTGAAACTTGCTAATAAATGAGATTTAAATTATCAAAGCTATCAATTTTAAAATTAAAAAAATATATTTTTGTAACAACCGTCGTTAATTGATATAGCGTTGGATCTGCAAATAATTTATTTTTTGACACACGTTAAGAATTGTCATCTTGATCGGATCTGCAAATAATTTATCTTCTTTATATAAAAGTGATTCTTCACAGTTCTCATTACTTAGGACAAAATTATAATTGAGAAGAAAACAAATATTATTGATTGAGGAAGATTTATGATGTACGTAGTTGATGGGCAAAGATTAATTATTGTTGCCCATTGGTGATGTTGTGAATTTCATATTAAAAAGGAATAGATTCTAGCCGACAAAATATTATTTGATATAGTATATAGAATAAGTGTAAATCATCTAAATTTTGGTAGTTGATCATATTATTAATTGGTAAGTAAATTGGGCTGTGGTTGAGAGTTATTGTGGTTGATTACTTTTTGCCCTTCATATAAAAAGACTTCAATTATCCTTAATAAAAATTAATACGCTTAATAAAAATTATGAAAATTATAAAAATCATCAAATAATCTCTACCATATGTCGATAACATAGAAGTCCTAAATAATATCTCACCCATTCAACATGATAAATACTTTTATTTAGAATCTTTAGGTCACACTACTTTCCCTCATCTTAATTTACTTTAACAATCCTTAATAAAATTATTAATTAAATTAAACTATGCGATTGGTTTGGTTTTGAAGCGGTTTTGTGTTATTTAATATCGATATGGTTTGGTATGTTTCAATGGATCGATAAATGATATGTGACTTGAGCCATTATGTTTACTAAAACCCTAGATTATAAAACCTTAGATTATAAATTATATATAAATGCCTCCGACCTGTTTGAGTATTCATGTTACATCTATGGCCTGGCCGTTATGTTTCTTGGGAAGACAGCTGTGTTTATGTAACATGGCTATGGTAATCCGTCTTATTTATTTTCTTGTAATCTTTAATTATGGTTTTGTTGTTTCGTGTGTTTGGTTTAAAGTTTTGGTGTGCCTTCAACCTTTTGTTTAAAGGTTTTGGTCGTAGTGGTTCCGAATCATGTGTTTTGTTTTACTTAACTTTTTGATTAGGTGTCGAGAATATAGAGAGAAAAAGAATCGGAAGGAAAAACTTTCGAAAAGCGATTCAAATTTGTTTGAGAGTCTGTATTTGTTTGTTTAGTTTGATCTAATCTATAACCAATCGAAAAAGAAGCTGAATAGGAAGAATATGAGGAATGAAGCTGAAGTAATTTGCATAAAAGGTATTTACTACTTTATATCTCTCCCCGCTTAGGCTTGATCATTATGTTTCGATTACCAATCTATTGTCTATTATGTTATTTCGTTTCCCTATTGTCTGTTGATATCTTCCACTCTTGGAAGCATCAGATAATGTTTACTTTCTATGTTTTTTTCATATATTTAGTTCATTGCTTTCTTTTAAATCTTTATTTATTTCTATATTATGATATTTCTTTCACTTTGCTCTGATAAAAGTTTTATTATATCATTGTGAGTATTTAATTTGGTTTTTCTTTATGTGAATTCATCTTAGTATTTATAATTTAAAAAGATTGTGTTTGCAATTATATCACCATGTTCTATAATGAAGTTTTTAAATTAGTATAGAAAATTCAAATCTGATTTGAATTTCTTATTTTGTAAAGAAAGGCCTCTCAGTTGATTTGCTGCTAATCTCCGCGCCTCTCTTCCTCGAACTTCAGTTCACGTTCTTTATCTCTCCATTAAACAGAGTTGTTGAAAGTTAAGAGTCAAGGGCAGATACTAACAAATCACTAATCAATTAATCATTAGTTGACGTTTTTGTAATCTTTGTTCGCATAATCCCGACTCAAACTATATTATCTGATCTGAAATCTTTTTTTAGGTTGCAGGGTGGGATAGTTCTTTACTCACAAAAAAATATAAGTAGTGAGTGTTTGATTTATGTTCAATACCTTTGCACTGTGTTTTGTTTGATCATGACTGTTTTTTAATGTGTGTTTTGCTCTTTTGATTTGATGGTTATTCGTTATTCATGATGTTTTCTTGCATAAACCTGAAATTAAACAGATTTTGTGATTTAAAATGTGTGTTTCCCATTATTTGGGAATGGAATGTCAAACAGAATGTGGAAAAAATCGGTGGAGCATGCAAGTGAAATTGTGATTTGTTTCTTTGTTTCTTATTGTTTTTTACTCACTTTCCAATTAATTCTCTCTGTTTCATTTGGTCAGTCATCACTTTCCAGGCATCGAACATGATCATGAAAGATGTGGTTGCCTCCACGCTGCTCTCCACTGGTTTGTTTGCCACTACGTTCACAAGCTGAGGTGGAAACCCGATTCAGACACTTTTGAGGTTGATATGATGACTTGGCTTGCCACATTTACCCCAAAGACACTGAAATTCTCAGACATACGTTATCGAGACACGTAAATGCCGTTAGTGAGATTCAAAGTGGAAGGGAATTACTACTTTTTGGATGCAGAGCATAGCTCCATCAAAGCGTTTAATCTATCGTAATGAGGAGGTTTTTCTCATAAGTGCAAGATTGAGAGGAAAGATAGGAAAATAGCCTTATTTTTTATCAGGAAGTGTAATTAACTATATAGTTAAAAAAAATGTATATAAAATTTTAGTTTCTTGATCGGGTTATTTATTTTGTTCTCTCTGATTTTAAACAATTAGCATGGATATCAAAATCTGATTGCCACTCTTGAGTTTCGTTAATTTAGGAAAACATCTTCCCCAAATTCAGTTTTTTTTTATGCTTCCAATGAGGTTTGTTTGATTTATGTTTTTCTTTGGTTTACTTCAACTATTGTTGAATTGTAAAACTTATAATCATTGGAGAAAACTAAAACTCAAAAAACAAGAACATCATATCATTAATTAAGAAGCAAATTGGACTGTATGTGAAAATTATTATGTTTAATAAGTTTGGTTTAAGAACAATTATACTAAATAACAAAAAAATTAATATATTTTAGGTAGTTTTGTCGAAAAAGTAATTAATCTTAATAAATTGAATATATATATATTTATGGTTATATCTTGATTTAGATTAATTCAAAAATGATATTTTTATTTTATTTGTAAAGATAAAAATGTATCTATATTTATCGGATTATAAAAAAAAGATGGTATAAACCCCAAATTTTTATTCCTATAAATAGTGTAATATATCTGCTACTTTATTTCATATCATTTTTTAAATTTAGGTTAGTTCATATAAATTTTGATATTTTGTTATTTGTTTGTTTTTTTTGAATTTGATAAAAAAAAAATTCATAGAAAATTGACAAGTTATTTGATTATTATTCATTTTGATGTTTTTATAGTACTCTAATTTTATAAGAATAATTTTCAAATTGTATGAAAATAATTTTCTTTTTTTCTTATACACAAAATTTTAGTATAATTAATTTATTATATTTATATCAGAATTAATGTATTAATAATATTAAAAGTATAGCTTTTCATTGATCAGTAGTAATTTGTAAGATGTTAATTGTGGGTATATGATTATGAAAAGAATAAATCTATTGAGTATAAGTGTATAACCAATCGTGAAGCTATATAACGTATGACATATAAACATATATACTTAAAAACACATATCTGTATATGTTTTCAACAAAATATATGCCTTGTGTGCACGCACGTATACGTGGTACTAAAATATGTGAACCTCACATTTGTGGGTTTCTATTTTTTTGTTTGAAAGAGAAGAAAGGTGGGTTTATTTCCTCCTAATCTCCTATAGTTTTTTTTTCTTTCCCTGGGGTTAAAGTGTCCATCATGTTTCCAAATTCAAGATCAAGATTATCATTATTGTTACTACTATGACAAATATAATAATCATATTGAATTCGGAACTCTGAAAATTTGACCCCAATATAA